AGTTGGATTCTTGTCCCTCTTAGAATTTTTTTAACTGAAGAATTATGCAGGAAAAAGGTAAATCCAGGTCATTCTCACTCCAACAATTCCCAGAAGCTGCTATAGCCCCTGAAGTGACAGTACTCAGCCTTGAAATTTCTACAGCTATGTAATATGGCTGGAAGCAATACCACTGAGCATACAGTTGGTATCACATAAATTAATACAGTGTAAATTTTGCTACTTTGTTGCTCACCCCAGTGAACTCTTTCTTTCCCTTTCAAAGAGTAGCTGTGCTGATCAATAACTAGAAAATCTGTTAGAACCAGAGAAAATTGTTTGCCTTGTGTAAACTGGTTCTCTCCTGTAAACATTTGCTTTTAAATAGCATGGACTGCAGCTGCACCCTAGATTGAGCAAGCCAGCAGAAATGGCTCACCCTAGCTTGACTTGAAAGGGGCAGTCACTTCTGCTTCTATCAATCAGCCTAAAACTTGACCCTTCTCCCACCCAACTTATGGCCAATGCTAAAGGGACTGCAGGATCATTAAGCAATGCTGAATGGACAAGTCTTGAAGCAAAGCAGAGGGACAGTCAATTGTAGGCGTAACGCAGCAGATTTATATCCACTAGGTGAAAGAAAAATGACTCCTAAGTGGGCTGGAGCAGCTGTGAAACTGGTCTGCCATAAGCAAGGATGAAGCATGGGAATCTCAGAGAAGAGCCCTTTTGCTTTCCAGCTCTAAAAGCAATTACCATAGATAAGAGCAAGTTCCTGACAGGGCAGGCAGACTGACAGGGCTCAATTCTTAAACAGCAATCTGATCCCAGGGGAGCTTCCAGGTCACTTACAGACCTACCATCACAGTATCTTTACTGACTGAAAATATGACAGTGGAGTAAGAGTGGGAGAGACTGTCCCTTCAAATAAACTGATATTGCCAGAAAGAGAGGGATTAAAGAGAGGATTCCACATGGAAATTACTGTTCTCGATGCAGGTATCAGGAAAAAACAATATAGTCAAGGTTGGTAAGAGTGAGCTGCAGTTCTACAAATCAGAAAGTAAAACTCTCAGGCATTTAAATTTTTAATTGAATTCCCTTTTATTGTGCTAGATCTGATTGTGATTAGTGTTTTGTAGTTAATTTCACGGATCAGAACAATTGTTCTATAATCTGCTAAACACAATTCTGTAACGCCTAAAGCTGTATTACATTTTTGCTGTAAGCACAAATTAATATAATTTTTTTAATAAAAGATGAAATAATAACATATTACATTGTGTGGGGAGGCAACTATTCGGTCTAGTGGTAGGCACTGGTTTATTAAAAAAAAAAAATCAGACAAAAGATCAAGGTTAAAGTGAGACTGGAGAAAATACAATATCTTTCACTTCTCTAAAAGAAAGTTTTGAACCGTGTGACCCATGAGCCATGACAAAGAGCAAAAACTGAGAAGATAGAGCAGAGCAAGAAGCTGGACACTGAAGCATGGAAAGATGTATGTTTATTATTACTTAGAGAGACAGGTGAAAACAATGGGTAAGTGAACAAGTGAGAACAAAAATCTAGAAGATGAGGTTAAAGCTGAAGTGAAGGCAGATGGCCATGCTGCAAGAAGGGAAAATAAAGAAACTCTACTTGTGAAAAAATATATACCAATAACATAAGTTTACAAAAAGAAGCCAACACAAATAAAACTTCTGGTATGTGGATGGCTGGAGGCAGAACTATCAAAGTTTTACTCAGCAGGGAAATGATTAAAGGCATCATGTGACAACTCCTCTATTGCCTGTGTAGTTTCTTGGATTAGGCTAGATTAGTGCAAAGTACAGGCAAGCTAAGGCATGCATGGCTGCATCATCATCACCAGGGGTAACCTAGATAGCATCAATAAGTACAAATACTTGAGCTTTCCTTGATCTAGCATTAACCAATTTCAGATCCATCTGTTCCACTTTGGATTGCAGCCTGGATGTTTCATGTTAACTTCATACGCTGCTAAATTGCCATCAGTTGTATCTCCTATTAAATAATGTTCATAATTCAATAACCATCTGGACAGAACAAGGGCAGTGTTCTCCTCACTAATTTTAAGACTACTTAGAGAATGAGGCATAGAAGACCTGATCCCATGCCCCTAAATTCACTCCTAGGTTTAAAGAACACTACTTACAGCATCTTTCTGTGCCCAAATTAGCAGAGAAACATATCCAAACTAAATAGAAATGTGCTTTAAGCAAACAAAGGTTTGCAAGCCAATTTTTTTTTTAATATAAGCAATTTCATGACCTTCAGAGCCCTTTTCCTAAGTAATGGAAATTTGAGGTTATAAAGGACAAATCTGGTTTGCAATAAAGAAATGGGAGGTAAGGAACTGATTTAAGGAGATAGGATTTGATCCAATGAGTTAGTGGGAAAACAAAACAGTCTAGGCTCTCTTTATGATTTACTTTGAACCTGTAGAGCCATCTCCATTTCAATTCCCCTCATTAAGGAGTTTTCTCATTCTCAGTTTCTCTCATTAAAGACATAAAGTTTAAAAGGTGTCAGCTAACTGGAAGAAATTGTGTTTGTACAGTGAATTGAAATCTAGCAGCCTCAAGTTTTGCCCTCAATTACATCCACACGAACATATTTGTAACTTTGGTATTAATTGCAAGTAGAGATGGTATCAAAGTCATTTATTTGCAGCTCTTGGGATTTATCAAAAGAACAAAGGTAAAGTGGCAGGCTGAATTGTCAACTCTTGGTTTACTCATGTGTGTTATCACTGATCACCAGCAGAAATAAGCTTGAATTTTGTGCTGCTGAATGAAGTCATCCTAGCACTGAGCTGGAAACAAAGCAGGAATTGTTTCAAGATTTCCTCCATGTAGTACTATAAAATGATGCTGAAATCAATAACAATGAGTGAAACAGTAATATTCACTCTAATATTGTTTTGTATTGTATTGCTGTGTAATATTTAGTGAAAAGAGATGGAAATGCTTATTTGGGAATTTTTTACTGTTGATCAGCAGCCCAATATAAATTATGCAAATTGCCCCACCATCCTGTCTTCCACTCTGGCAGTGAACTATTCCTCTCCTTCCCTGTTCCTTCTCATTCCTCTCCCTCTTCTTTTCCTCTACCGTGCAATCATCAACAGTAAAACACCTGCAGTTTAAGATTATATGTGACTGCTAAACCTGTCATTTACTAAAAAAAAGTCTGCATAGTCACTTGCCATCTAGATCGAATAGATTTACGTATATGTCTTTGAAAAAATTCCTCTTAACACAGAAAGTGAACATGCACTTTTTTGCTGAAAATATCTCAGAAGCTTACAGACTCCCAGGAATACTTGTCTGCATACTCCTCTCCGGGAAAAAAATAAAATCTTTTTTAGATCAAACAAAAGCTTGAATACTTTCCCTCCTAAAATATTAATCAATAAGATAACAGAAGAGGTACCATCATATAACCTGCTTACAGTTTCTAGCCTAGTCAGACAAAGAAAAAGCAGATGAAGGTGCTGAGAGAATTGAATTCAGTGGCATTCTGAAATAATATTAAAGCTGAATTCTGCAAACTTTCTTAATGATCAGCCTAGCTTAGCTATTTCTAAATACCCTCCACTAACTCAAGTAATAACTAAGAATGTAGGATTAAGTAAGTCTTTAGTCAAAGTTAACGTTGTTCTGCCTTTTGCTTCCAGAGACATATTTACTTTTGCTGTTAATGAATAGCTTTGTGTTATTTCCTTTTAAATATTTTGTATTGCCTACAACTTCCAATTTTTATTTGCTCCTTGGAGCACCTGCAATTTAACAGTCAGGCTGGTACCTACATCTTTAGCATACCAGAATTTTTCAAAATCAGCCACTGAATAATACTGTTAATAACAAAAAAAAAGCCTTCCTAAACAAAAAAGACATACCTGAAGCCCCTTCCAAACAGTCACAGCAGATTTTAATATGCTACTTACCATAAAATTCATCTCCTGTTGTTCTGTCATTTAAAAGCAACAGGTACATGCCAGACTGACTAGCAAATTATTCTTTCTAACCCTCCCAGTCCATGGAATCCCTTTGGAAAGAGCAGGGGGAATTTTGCTATAAGGATCAATAAAGGGTTTCCCTGGAGGATTAAATTTTTCATATTTTACCCTTACTAAATGGATTTTCTCTGCAGCGTTTTTTACGTTCTGGGATTCCTATTTATTCTACTACCAACTTGTAAATTGTGGATTATATTGTGCATGCATGCAAACGATACTCTCACTTCCCATTCCTCAACAGTATGTGCAAATGCTTATGTTTCCAATGGCCCTTGCACAAATACTGCTTAAGTTACATTTTGTCTCTTTTTTCTTTCCGTCCTTATTATCTTTCTGAAGAAGGAATAGCAGTAATCTCTAGCCTTCGGTCACTAATTTTTACTAAAGCAAACTGGAATTTCCTTGTCTTTGAGACATACCAGAAGAAAAACTCATATACAACATGATATTGAAGAAGTGCTTGTTTATGTCTGGAATTTTGTCTGATTTTCCAGTTACATTAGAATCATAGAACTTTTAGATTGGAAAAGACCTCTAAGATCACTGAGTCCAGCCATTAACTTAACACTGCCAAGCCCACCACTAAACCATGTCCCTAAGCACCATATCTACATGTCTCTTAAATACCTTTAGGGATGGTGACTCCACAACTTCCCTGAGCAGCCCTAATGAGTTTGGCCTAATGAGTGCTATAATGTTTCAGTGTTACCACAGTCCTCTCAAAAGGGGGTTTGTCTCAAAGAAGAAAAATATTACATTTAAGCTAGTGTAAACATTATCAATTGCTCTCTAAGTAAACCTAAAATATGGCATGGTTTTTATATTTTCTGCAACACCTGAGTAATTGACCCCGGAGCAGAAGAATTCAGTCTGGAGAAGATCACTCAGTCCCCAGGGTCCAGGTGCAGTGGCTCAGCTGTTGCCATAACTACCCAGGTGGCAATGGCTGTCACAGCCTCTCTGCCCTGGGAAATCCCACCTGGTTTTGGGACCTCTGCATTCTCTGGGTATGGTCCCTTGAGAGCACTTTCCCCTGGGTCAGCCTGACCTGGCATTGCAGCTGTTGATCTGCTCTCTTCTTCATGCACCTTTGGAAAGAGAAGAGATGCTACTGAAGCTCAAGTACTGCAAGTATTCGGTCCTTATTTTGTGTCAATTGTTAGTTGACAGAGTTTACAACAGTATCCCAAATGGAAAAAGGAACATGGGCTTCAGTGACCTTTTTGGTCACTCCATGATTGAAGGGGACAAAAGCACAGGCATGACTTAGCCCTGAGCAGACTGTAACTTCTACAAAAGCTACTGTACTGACAGCAAGCTTTGCTGACAAAACAAAGAACACCTTTTCTTTATTTTTTTTTTAATAGTAAACTACTTCTCCTTTTTTCTGAATTATGCAATATGGATATTAGCTTGTGATGTTACTGACAGTTGTTGCTGCTATTTGTATAGCTGAGGGGCTTGGGGGACAAGGGTAGTGGGTTGTTTCCCCAGTATCATGAACCATTTAACGTGGTAATCAATTCAATAAAAAGCCCGTAGCCTGGTTTTCAGATTCAGGAAAGTGGATACAAATGACAGATACATTACCTACAGTTGTATATCACCTAAATTGTGAATACAGTGTCATATGTATAGACTCTGCCAGCTGCTAACTTGTTTTCACTGTTCACTATGCATCTCGTCTGAACAAGACAGTCTTGTTACTTTATGTTTACAAACCTCGGTTTTGTTGCAGGTTGAAGTCAAGGACGTAAAAAATAAAAATATAGTACCTAACTTTGCTTTGGACATAGTGAAGATTGCTTTAAAAAGAAGCTCACTCTGCATGTGTAAAAATGTAGATTGAACATGGTTTTACTTTGTACCTACTCAAATTTTAATACTGCTTTTATATTTTAAAACACAAAAGAAATGTAGAAGTACAGGCCTTATGTAAAATTCATCACAAATCTTCAAAACAGGTTTGATATGGCCACTGACAAATGATGTCCCATAAAGCATTGCATGACTATTTTTAACATAACTCTCATACATTATTTCTCCTGCATTGATTGCCCAGCAATATGAACACGTTGAAATACAAGGCAATATAAGCGACTTTCGTATCTCTGTTTAATCTTTGCAGGACCTCTACTTCCTTGACTTCATGTGAGAAGCAAATAAAATACGTGACACTGACAACTGGAACCATCCCAGCAGCTTAGCTCTAGCCATCTATTTGTATTAATCACTGCTGCATATACATGGTGAGTGGCTGCTAATTCAAAAGATCCTAAGCATTTCACTTGCTTCACTGTCTTCATCTTTACTTTTCCTTCACTGGGCAGTAATTTGCCTTTCAGTTGAGACCCTACAGGTTGAGCCCTCCCCACACCAGTATCACCAGTCATTGTGGACTCTAACCCTTGACTTCTAATATTCTCACAATGCCTTTTTTCTTTGTGTTTTGTTATTGTTGTTTTGTTTTCTTTTGTGTTTTTTTTGGTTTATTTGGGTTGGGGTTTTTTTAAAGACAAAATTCCATTTCTCTATCACTTTCATAAAAGCACAACTTTCTCTTACCTCCTACCTCTCTAAAGTTGTTTACTTTGGCACCCTCCTCATTTTTCATCCGCTACCTCCACTTTTGTCCTTTGCTGTAAGACAGATGATAAACGGCCTGAGCATCGGCATGCGTTGGCTTTCATTCCCAGTTTTGCCCACTCACTTTCTGCATCACAGGATTATCTGGGATCTGAATAAAAGCTAGGATCTATCTCCCCCAGGCAATGAAAAGCCATATTAAAGGCAGGCACACCAGAATCCATTTGCAGGCACTGTGCTCAGTGCTGGCCCCAACCTGGTACAAATCGGGACAGGGAAGGAGTCAAAGCAGAACAGATAACAACGAGAAGAGCAAGTACTTCTCCCAGGAAAGCCTCTCTCCCCAGAAAAGGTCTCCCACCTGACTTCAGGTAACATGTCTGCACAGTGCACAGGGTGGCTTTGCTGCAGCTTGGGCTGTGTGTAAGGGCTAGAGAAGTTCACTGTCCTCTGTGCCTTTGCTGGTCATGTTGCCAGCATCTGTTTACCCTTCTATAAAATGGAATAGTACCACACAAGATGTTGTGAGCCTTAGGGAAATAAGACACTTTTGAGATCCTGGATGAAGGATACTGAAGGTGAATTCTTCATCAGGAAGCATTTACTGACTAAAAGGGTTAAAAAGTATTAGAATTGGCTGTCCAGAGACGTGATATAGCACTTAGTGCTATGGTTTAGTTAACGTGGTGGCCAAAGGTTGGTCTAGATGAACTTGGTTCTTTTCCAACCTTGATGATTCTAACTTGGTGTCAGCTCTGTTTTCATTTCATACTTTGCACCTGCACTTTTTTCCAGAATTACTGTCATTGTCATCCTGTTTGCGGATACTGGGAAGCACCTCTTCAACCTTCCCAGTTACTTGCATCGCAAGGGCAAATTAGAAAATATTGCCACTTGCAAGCCCGAGCATTCAGCGCGAGCTCCCAACCCCCCGAAATGACTCAGTGGATCCCAGTCTCCTTCCTACTGTGTAAACAGGGGGTACGCGCAAGGACAGGCAGGATGCTCACAGCCACCGACTCTCATTTGTACTTGGAGCCAAGACTGGCACAAAGCACTGCTGCACCTCACTCCACGGGGCTCCTGGGAACGGGGAGGGGGCCCAGCGCCGGGCAGCCAGCCGGGCGGGGCCCGCAGGAAGCCAGAGGGGCAGCGCTGTCGTCCCGCTCCCGGGCCGTGGGGCAGCGCTGGAGTCCCGTCCCGGTGCCCGGCCGTGGGGCAGCGCTCCGCTCCCCTGCGCTCTCTCACTCGCCCGCCCTCCGGGCTCCCTGGCCCCTGGCAGCCCCCGCCACCCCCCTCCCGGCCCGCTCCACCACTCGCTCCCGTGCCCGGGAAGTCCCGCCCCGCTCGGGGCGGTCGCGGCTCCCGGCCAGCCCGGGCCCTGCCGGGGTGCGGTGCTGTCGGCGGAGGCTCCGTGGAGGCTCTTGCCTGTGGGGTGAGAGGCGGGTTTCGTGACCTCCCGCGGCCCAGAGCCGCCCCCCGGGCGCGCCCTTGGTGCCCTCGGCCCGACAAGGCGCCCGGGCCGGGAAACTTCTCCGGAGTTGAGGGGCGAGAGCGGCTTTCTAGCCCTACGCTGCCGGCCCGGGAGAGCCGGGGCGGGAGAGCGGGAAGGGCTGGCGGTGCCGAGGGGCTGGGCAGCGCAGGGGCGGGTGCCGGGGCTCGGGGCCCCTGCTCGGTGCGGGTCGGGGCTGTGGCGGGGCCCGGCCCAGCCCCGGCCGAGGGGGCGGCTGCGGGACGAGGGGCAGAGCGTGGCCGGGACAGGGCGCTGAGTCAGGAGTGTAAGGGGATGAACTCCTCCTTCTCTCTGGAAAAGCGTTTCACAGGACCAGATGATAGTTACCAGCAGAGTAACCTTCGAGCTCAGGCGCCTTAACTGTGTGAGTGCAGCTACGCTGCTATTTTTACCGCTGATTTTTAATATTTGTACTGTCATAACAAGTTAAATATTGGAACTACGTCCCCTCTAGTACTTCCCTCCCGACAGTCCCCGAGGGTGGCTCTGGGAAGGAACAAATGCCTCAATCCAAAACTAGGATCTTCAGAGCCTGCCTGCAGCTCACTCTCCATCTGGAAGCACCCGTATCCCTGTGCAAGATGCTTCCAGAGTTGCTTAAGCTTGACAAGGCTCAACGGCAAAGCGCCAGACTTGCCTGTGAGCCTTGTTGGGATTCACACACTATGCATGTTCTCCGTGGCCTGGGGCGTGCTGCCCTTTACAAGCCACAGCTGTGACAGACTCTGCTCTCTCCTCCTCTTGCATGGGTTTGGTGAGTGCGGAGGGGAGTGCAGGAACGAGGGAGGTTTAGGTCCCCCTGCCAAGTCTGCTTCAGTACTGTAGCCAAGCCACTGCTGGGCAGTCACCTTGTGTGTTTGGCAACCCCTCTGCAGCAGGTCTTGTATTGTGATGAATTTGACCTCAAGTTGAAGCATACAAGTCCTGTTGGTGAGGAACTCAGATGAACCTAGCAAGTATTTGAATGTATATATGATCTCTAAGATACTTGTAAGAACAATTATTCTTTTTAGGTGTCTGTTGTTAGGGATGGTATCTTCTGTATGCTAGAGGCTTGTCATAGCTGTTGAACGAAACAAATTTTTAGCCAGAGGTCACTTGGATTTGGGAAATTTTATTTTACTTGTTTGGAATTCCCTTCTGCTTTGTGTTGAATACATTATTCAATGTTCTCTGTTGTAATATGTTCTGTAGTGTTTAAAGGTTGTTGCCTTCTTTCTGCTGGAGGCTGTTTCAGTGATGGGTGAAGTGATGCTTCTAATAGGTAGTTTTGTATCATTTTGTCAGGTACTTTGGGATTGTTTTATGAAAGAGTACATAAATGTCATTTATTATTATGAATGCCTCTCATGGTTTGGAATTTAACAGACATAATATTTACCATCATGTCACCATCGTCACATTCATTTTTGTAGTTGTAATCAAAGATGGCAATAATGGCATTCAGATGCTTAATTATATTTTATGTAGGTGACCAGTTCTAACTTATTAAATTAATGCATGGTGGAGCAGGAACAAGTGTCACTGCTTCCCTCTGTGGTTAGGGAGCCATCAGCTTGCTTCTCACACATAAAAATCAGTATATAGTGAAGCATATGGCACCAGTGAGTTCTGTGTTTATTAAAGGACTATTTCTCTGAACATTCTGTGAATTTTGTTCCTTATTTCACTTGATGTAGATCTAAAATGTTTTTCCCACCTTTCAAAACTTGAAATACTGAACAAGTTCATTTTTTAGTAAGCTGAAACGAAGACTTCTTAAGGTTCATGAAAACAGTGAGACTTCTACTTTCATCAGACTGACCACCTGTCTGGTAGGGGGAGAATAGAAATCTGTCTAAACTGTGGAAACCTAAGGTTCAAGTCCCTAGTTTGATTCAGAGCGGTTTTGAACATTTTTACATTTTCTGTATTTCTGGATAACTGGATTGCTAGCTATATTGGAAAGAGAAGGGAGTGTCCCATCTCCCTGGTTCTAAGTTACATCTTCTCAAAACTGGTAGGGTAGGTTTTCTTCTTTAATGTCATTTTCTGGTCACAAATTAGAAAGCTTCCTCAGAATTTTCTAAGGAGTGGCCATGTCTTTGGTCTGATAGTAATATATACGTGGATAATAATCCAAGAAAAGCATTTTATCCTAGCAACAGCTGGGATATTTTTTACAAGTATTTAACTGCCAAGAAGAAAGGCCACCACCATCATCCCTTATATGACAGCTTCAAGTAAATCACAATTTTTAACTTGGATGTCAGAGACCTGTAGAAACACTCTTCTCAAAGACACTCTGAAGCCCTAGTTTTGTCGAACCAAAGCCACAGGGTTTTTCCTGAACTAATTTCTGTGGAGGAGGGGGGACCAAAGAAGAATTGTACTGCTGAACTACTCTGCCTTTTTCTGCTCTTTCAGCATCTTACCTCAAAGTGTAAAAGGAGAATTGTTTTATCCTACAGTTGTCTTTGCCTTGTCCAGTGTCACTGCAGTGAGGATGATTCACCCAGTGAAAGGAATTCGACTCTTCCTTGCTGTGATTTGTGTACCTTCTGGCTGATGGGTCATTTTCAGATGGTTCTGGAAATGTTCGACTGGTTTTAATGCTTGAACTCTGGTGGTTTGTAAAGTTTATTGCAGGACTTTGTTCTTAGTTATTCACTTTAGACTGGGTAGCAAGGATTTTTTAATTGTATGTGTTGGTTGTTCCTGCTATTCCACTGCTGTACCCTGTTGGGGGTAAGAACTGAAAAACAACAGAAGTTGTGCAAGCAAGAGGTTGTTGACTTTGACCACTGACAAAGCATGCAGACTCTGTAAAGGCAGTCTCTAAGTTAAAAGATACTCATTGTTACACACATCACCTTTACATTTTCCCTTGACTCTCATTAACTTTTCTTTTGTGGGCTAGTTTCTTGTTAGAGCAGAAGCGGACCTTGAGAAGGGCGTTTAGGTTCCATTTCCTTACACAGCCATAAAGAACAATAACAGTAGAAACTCTGAGGCTTTTCTGAGGATGTTTTTTTTCCAGTAGGTCTTCAGGTTGGTTGCAAATTTTGTGAGGTAGTTGTTTGCAGTAGTGGGACATTGAATTTAGTTCTGCGCATCTAAGCTTGTCACTCACTAGTAAAGAAGGTGGTTTTCTGAAAGTCTCTGCTTATCTCAGTTGCTGCAATCTGCAGTATTGAATGAAACACTAAACTCAATCCCCATGCTCTTTTCCACCTTCACAGGTCTCAGTGGATCAGTGACTGGTATGTTCTGTGGCAAAGCTGACCTTGAGGTTCATTCATATGAATTTACTAGCTAGTAATGTCCAGTCTTGATCAGGAGGTAGTAATGCACATCAGTCATCCATTGCTTAGAGATTTGTGTGGTGAGAAGGGTGATATCTGTTCTTTGGTGTCTTAGACCTCCATCCCTTTTCTCCTTATTTCTGCATGTAAAGATTGTAGAGTGATTTTATGTGGCTCTTGGTGATAGGGCTGTACAACTGAATGATAATGCTCCGCTCAACATGCTTACTGAAATGTTTAAGGTCACGTGAAAATCTGTGTATGTGACCTTAAGTAGAGACAAAACGAATGAAGGTCAATGAGAATAACAGCAAGAGTAGTGTTTGATGTATACTGGTTTCAAATTTGAAATTTAGAGGGAATGAAGACTGGATATCCATTTCTGAAAAGCACAGGCTTTTTCCTACTTCCTGTTGTCCTAGCAGGAAAGAGCATATGTGCTTGTAGCCCAGAACCCATGAGAAGCAAATATGATTCCATTTAGTCTTAAGAATACAAATGTATGTATCAACATGCAGGACATAGCCCATATTTGCATATAGCATAATGTGACTTCAGTTCTGATTTTTGGCCTAAAAACACTATGTGTGCATGTAAAATATAATTAATGTAATGTTTGACCCTGGAGGAGAATTTTTATCTGACCTTTTATTGAGAGTAATTTTGGAAGCTGCCCAAAATGTAAAATCCCCTGAAGTTCTTCTAAAGGAGATGTTAATGAAAAAACACTTACGGGTATGCTGGTCTCTCTGAGGAAGAGAAACTTCAATGTGACTTTGCTTAGAGAAGCCTAGATTTTGAGACTGTTATCTGCACAGAAATAAGGTAAAATAGAAGTCTGACTGTTCTAGTCACAACAGCTAAACTTTAACCAAATTGAAAAACTGCGCATAGTACAAAGTGGCTTAGATTCTGCTTCTTGGGGCAAATCACTATTGGCATACACGGTCATATGCTGAGCACATGTGCTTGCTTTGATCCAAAGGTTTGGCCTCAGTACTGAGGGGCTGCACTTGGTCTGGTGTGGCAGTTCAAATGTAAGGAAGCAATCTGGTTTTTATATGTGACCCTCAGACCAGGTGAAGCTGGAAGGTCTGTCTGTCTGCCACTAACTGAGCCACGAAGGGAATACGCAGTAAGAATTTTCACGTACCTTTCAGGGGAGCATTTAAAAGCTTTGCTTCTCACTTACCAGCTTCTCACCCCAGAGTGTGCTTTCTGGAGGTTCTGAGGTCAGGGGATCAATATATTGGCTCTTCCCATAGGTGTACTAGTGTTTAAATTTCTCTTAAAGTTTAAGTGACTGCTTTTAGGCTGTAAAACATGTAATGTAACTCAAGCAGTGTAAATGGTGTGGTGTGTGTACTTGCATATTTTGCTGAGACTTCCTTTTATCACTGTAGGATTATATAAGGCTTGGGCTAAAGCTCTCCTAATTTTTTTTCATAGCACATACAGTAACTTTTTATAAAGTCTTAGTATCCCTCCTCACTTCCGTAGCGTAAAGATTTTTTGGTTGCTTAATGCATATATAGAAAGTCTAGTGAAAAACAATATTTAGTGTTTCTTTTAGCTTGACTTCTTAAGGAAATATATTCTTCTGAATGGTTTGCGGACCAGAGGTAAGTTGTTGAGGGCTACAGCATTAACCCACTACTCTGAGTGTGTTTTGTGAAAAAATGTAGCAAGGTAAGGATAGATGATGCTTTTTAAATATTTAAATAGGAGGTCTCTAGGCTTTGAATCTCTTGGCCAATTTCTACCTGGTTGAGAGATTACACATATCTGAAATGGTGAGGTTCTTACTCACTGCACGAAGATACAGCCACCCAAAGGTGGGAAAGTGCAGGTGTCCCACTAAGGGAAGAGCTGCAACATATGCTCCTGTGGGGTTAGACAGGATCTGTGTAGGAGAGAGGCACTGTAAATGTTCCCTTCCTCTCTGATAAGAGCTTTATTCAAGGCATGAAAGTTCTCCCATGTGACATTGTTCCTTAGGACACAAAACCTTGCCTCAGTGTTGATGCCTGTGTTCATACTAGTGTGCCCTTGTCCCCTTAGTAGACTTCTGCACTAGGCAGGGGGCCATACTATGAAAAGTTGTCATGATTGAAGGTAGTTTAAAAAAAAAAAACAACAACACTACTTCTGAATAGGTAAGATTATTTTCCTTGGCTCATTTTTCTGAGTTAGCTTGAAGTTCAGGAAATCATGATGATCTCATAGTTCCATTTTGGGAGAGGAAAAAGACCAATGTCTCTTCTGACCAATGGCAATTCTGAAGATGAGGAAGAACATTTAAGACTTGAATGAGAATAATCTGTCACCTTCAGAGCAGTATATCTGCCGTTTCTGCAGAAGAGACAGAAGTTTGCCCAGCAATTTGCATTTTGTCAGTACTTTTACCCCATTTTCAAATTCTGTTTCTTGGGCAAAATAACCCAAAAGCAACATAAGATAAGCTGTTGTCTCATGTAACATAGAGACAAACTAGTGGTGGTGTAAGGGCGCCTGTGTAGGAGTGCAATGTCACAGGCTGTTGGACACCTTTGCAGGGACTGACACAGAGGTAATTGCTGGACTAAATGGCAGGTGAGCCTGTGTCTGTGCTGGAGCAGATGCAAATCCAGTCATACTGCTGCTCTCACCCAGCCAGCTGTGGTGAGCTCTGCTCCACAGCCCCTGTAGCTGTACTTCCCTGACGCTGTGCATGAACAAAAAAGCCATGCTTATTTGAAACCTGTGTATGAGAGAATGTTTAAGGCATGTTTGTCCTGTAATTAGCACTTGTGAATACATTTTTGAAGAAGGTAAAGCAGATCTGACACCCATCTCTTGGAGAAGTTAGAAAACTTGCTTGTCTACTGGGGAAGAGGAAGAACCGTGCTGGCAGTATCGAGTTCCTTCCACCCTGTAAACCTCTACAGGGTTGGCGGAAACAGGGGGAGAGAAGTTAATTTTTTTAAATTCTTCCTGACATAGTCTACCTGTGTTCTCTTATGCTCTGCCTCACGTCTTCCTTTGTCTTGCTGACTTTTTCCCTTGTCGCAAAATGTTTATATTTAGGGAACGGTGAGATAACACAGCACAGGCTAGCTGATGGTAATTACCTGAAGATGTGTCATATATTTCTAATTTGTGGCTTTTCCATGCTCTGTAGGGGTTGCTCAAAGTAGAATTGAATGCTCAGAACATTTCCTCCATCTGTAAATATATAGTGAACCTGCACTATGTCACATTTCCCAGGACTGCATGGTTAAAAAGGAACGACCCGCTTAAAATGCTCTTGATGCAGCCAGGGCAGCCCTTGTTTCTAAATGGCAGCCGTATTTAACTTTTTCTGGATACAGTAAATACCTCTTGAGCCATTCTTTTTGCTTTTTTGTAAATTTTATGTCACAGCAGTCTGGATTTAGTGTTGCTGTGATCTCACATTGTAATGTAACGGCAATAAAATGATTCCCATACCAGTCTACAGAGAATCTGTGCTAATGCCATTAAAATGTGCTTACCGAATCAAAACAAATGCAGCATTAGCATGTGGAAGCTGTGTTTATGCGATTATAATGTTTCAGCAATATGAGATTACTGTAGGAAGCAACTAATCCAAACCCAAGGAGACTTCCCATTACAAGACCATTAAAATGACACAATGACTGAAGCGCAAGTTTCAGATGGGAAAAGAGGAAACACAAATCTTGTCATCAGTATTCAGGCAAAACATCTATTGAACTCAGTGGAGTTTTTACCAGACTCAGGAATGCAGTACCATGACCTTTTTAGCAGCAAGTCTCTTTTAACAATACCTCTAGGAAAAATATTTACTTCAGCAATATTTAATAATTGATGGTGAGAGTTGTATTTTATGTACCATACATAAAATATGGTGGTTGTAAAGATTTGTCCAGAGTTTATCACAAAACTGTTAAGGTATTGTTTCAAGGCTGTTGTGAAAAAATACAAGTTTTGGTTATATCTTAAGGCAGTTCTCATTTTGTTTTTGTCTGAATATGTAATTTTCAGGAAATATTTATTTCTCTCTTTATAGAGCATCTGGAGGACAGAAGCCTTGGTCTATGCAGGAGCACCTTCGTAATACCACCACATAAATTAGTGATTTTCAAAACCAAAATAGCTATTATTTCCATATATGAGCCTACCTGTTTATCTTCCATCATAGAAATCAGCACCTTTCCCTCTCACATCAGACTGGGTTAAGATTGAGGAAATATAATTCACATGTCCTGTGTAGGACCATCTAGAATATACTTGTCCAAGATTGTTTCTTGGCTCCCTCCTTAGTCCATGGAAAGAGGATAATATAACAAAAAGTAACTTGTCCTGTCCTATTACAAACACTCAAAATAGCCTGCATGAGTTGCCTGTGAATATGTCTTTCCATCTCCACTATGAAAATGGTCTAGATGATTGCTCTGTAAAAGACATACATCATTTTAGATGGCTAAATGAGGTGATATGAATTCAGTCCTTGGTGTATGAAAGAAGAAACTTTTTCAAAAGAAAGTTCTGTGGAAAACGTGGCATGCGAGTCATTAGTAAAGCATATGATAGTTGATTTTTGTAGTAACATATACATACTTAAACTAAGCAGCAATCTTTACTCCTTTTAAAAGCTATTTGCACCTAAAATCTGTTTTAAAAACACTCAATTAAATTCTGATTCCACTAAGTGAATCTTATTAGGAGTAATGTATCATTATTGCATAATGAGGGTAGGCTGTCTGTGTAAATGACAGTAGGGAAGATATCAAGACAGTGGTTTTAAAAATTATTCCAGTCACAGGTTGTTGACTGTCTTTATGTTTTATAATTCTTTTATTAAAAGCAGTGGGTTTCTAAATCTGTGTTAGTAAGCAGGCACAGGCATTAATATTAATCATATTTTTCATGCAGATAAAATTAGACCTACTTTAAATGCTGTTTGTGTCAGTTTCCATTTTTGTGATGGTTCTTATATTTATAAAATCCTTCATCTCAATCAAAAGGTTCTGTAAATTCTGTATGTGAGCTGTAATATGAAATCTAGAGCCTAAAAATCAACAGGTTTGTGTCTACAAGAGAAACCTGGAACTGGTAATTTTAGATGTTTCCTGCTGTTATAAATCAGAAGACAGCAGCCTCAGGCTATAAGATGATCTCACATGTGCAACCACAGGTCTTCATAATGGGCGAACCAGATTAATTGAGGGTAGTCTAAATTAACTGTGTCAGAAAGGAATTAGTGGGAACAAATACTGAAAGTCAACTTTTCATCAAAGGTATAATCTGAAAGTGAGCAAAAATTCACATTCAATTAGAGTGGCCTTTTTTAGTAACTACACTATTAAATAACTAAGTAACTGAAGTGGAAAATTGTTAAGGAAACAGACTGTAATCAATTTGTGCAAGTTTTATCAAAAGAAGTTAAATACTTGTATATTTAATTGTATGAAAAATTTGTATATAGGTTTGTTTTGCTAACTTAATAAATTGATTGGAAAATTCTCAGTGAACATGGGGAAAGAAAAGTGTGTCTCTGATGCAGAGTGTAGTTATCACTCTTTATGCTGTCAGGGGTTTACTGAGTGCCAGAGTGTAGATATTTAACATTTAAAATAAAAAAGGCAGAAAACCCAAAGGTAACGCTTAGAATTGTCATTCACTTTGCTGTGCATGTAAGAATGACTCATATCATTGAACCTTCTCCAGAATAGTAGGTTACTCTGTAGAACACAAGCCTTGTTCAAGGATGGAATTAATGACTGGGTTGGACAGCTTAATTGAATTGCAGTGAGCAGCAGTTTCTGACTGAGACAGGTATTTTGCTTTTAATTGTTTGCTTAAAAATAATATTTTCTGAAATCATGCACTTCTTATTTGGCAAAAAAATAAATCATTATATTAATCAGCCAATAGTCTGTTCTATGAGAGTAATTATTCTTCTGCCTTCTCAACCAAGTTAACACACTAGTTTAAAAACGAAATTCCTGAAAGAACAGTTCTTCATAAGTAAGTCTGCTTTTACACAAGGCAAGTAAACATAGTCAGTCGTTTCTTTCTTATGGATGGCCAAGTTTTCATGTTGCAAGAACTGCCAACACTACAGACTTCACTAGGCAGGCGATAGCTGCCTTTTCCAGGGGCTGGGTCACTCTTGTGCATTGGTGTTCTGACAGTGACTGCTTCTCCTGAGATCAAAGTACCTCCAAAGAGGTCTTGATGTTCCTGTGCCCTTTGATATGTAGAGTTCAGTGCCCTTCAGATTTCAGTTTTTCTGTCATCCTGGTGGATTAACTTTAGCAGTTAAAAGGAAAATGTCCTCTGAGGGCTTTACCAGTAACAAACCCGTGTTTATGACATTATTCCCTAAAAGGGAGACAGGAATGGGAAAGACCTCTCTCTTTAATCAATAATGCATGCTCTAGTTAGTCCTTTCCTCTGGACATGATTAAACATGTATTTTGTTTCATAACTGATGATTTTGGTTGACTAGGGATTTTAACTATATATCCTCAAGCCTTTGTGACTAGCATCAGGAAGATCTAACATGAACTCCTGCTCCCAAAAGGAAAAAAAAAACCAAAATCCCAATGGGGAGAGCTGCAGATAATTCCAACCTGCAGTGAGTCAGGCCAAACTGGCACAGGGCCTTTGACATGAACCAGCTGCAGACAGTAGCCTCAATGTTTGTCTTTGCCACTGCTCATTTAAGGTTTTGAGAAATATCACTGTTTCCTTCATGTTAGAGATGAATAAAAAAGTGTCTGAGATGCTGAGCCATATAAGTTAAGTGTTAGATTAAGGTCTGTACTTAAATGATAAAATATTTGGCCAGTGAAGCACTTTGACTTCTCCACCGCTCTTTGGGGGCCACACTACATCTTTTGCAACTGTTGTCAGCCTTAGAGGAGTTGTCCTGGGCTGTTCCAGACCTCCACAATGCAGCTGCAGGAGAACCTGAGCCCTTTTGAAGCCAAAGGAGCAGGTGATCACCCCCATCCCTGCATTCTGCATATAGAGGAGCAGACAAGGTGCCCAAACACAAACAGCTTCCTTGGTATCTGAGGGAGACAGTGAGTCTTGGAGGACAGAGATAAATAAACTGAACATACCAGTAAGAAATATTCAGCCTTGGTGCCAAGTGTATTCATCTGGTGGCTCAAGCTGACAAGAATTGACAGCTGCTGAGGAGCAATGAATCTGAAATGAACATACAGTGGTTGTTACTAAATAGGAAACATTTGTCTTAATGTGATGCTGACTGCAGCACAGTAAATGATGATGATTTCCTTTACTGGAATGTGATGTGTTTACGTTGCTGGAGTACCAGCACAAGTGCAGTTGGGTAAAATCAATGCTTTGGTTTTCATCCTGACCACTCTGCTGCGAACAATGTTTGAAAACATCCCGGGCGAATACACACAATGTGTAAGTTATGTGTGTGAGAGAGAGGAGGGAATTGCCTGAGAAAGGTTTTCTGAAATGTTTTTGTTTCCTCTCTTTTTCCTTCTCAGACTCTTTTAGGATCTGATTTTTTTTTAACCTTTTGTTGAAGAAAAATGCCTTCCTTGAGAGGGAAAGTGCAGACTGTCTTGGGCCCTGTGGAGCCAAACTGCCTGGGCTATACACTGACTCATGAGCACTTGACTATGAACTACAGCAGCTGTTTTTGTCCACCTTCTCCAGGCCAAGAGCCTTTGTCTGATGGGCCCATTGAGATGAAGAACTTGTTTTGGATTAAGCAAAATCCCTACAGCCATAAAGAAAACCTTCTTTTGTATCAGGAAACAGATGCTGTGAAGGAGGAGCTGTTGCATTTCAAAGCAGCAGGTGGTGGGACTATAGTGGAAAACACAACTACAGGAATTGGTCGGGATATGAATACTTTGAAGAAACTTGCTGAAGAAACTGGAGTTCATATTATTGCTGGTGCTGGGTTTTATGTAGATTCCACTCATTCTTCTCAAACACAGGCCATGACAGTGGAGCAGGTAAGTCTTAACCATTGCTTGAGTGTCCCTCTCCTGTGAATTATCCCTGGGTAAGCCAAAGTTGGACAGAAGTTCCAACAAAATAGATGAAATACAGAGGTTCTCAATGTGAAAAACTTGGGAACAGCATTACTGCTTGTGTGATATTGTTGGAAATTATATAACTTTCCTGATTTGTTTAATGATCCTAATTAACCTTTTAATTAGTTGTTTTAATTAATCATAGGTTGTGTGTTAGGCCTTAAATCATTTTTAGCCAGCATATAGCAAAAGGTTGTCATAAGCAACTTTTTTGAGAACATAGCTTGGGAAAAGTACTAAAAATAAGTTTTCTTAAAGTTAACCTTGATATCCTTCAATGAACAAAGCCCATGAGAGAAAGATGTACTGTTGAAGCTGGACATCTGGAAACAAGGACCTTTTGCAGAAACCAGCAGATAACTAAGAAGGTTAATAAAGGCTCAGTATTTGTATTGGAAAATCCCTACCAAAGGAAAAAGATACTAAAAAGACTAAAAGTGTGAACTAATTAGCATAAGCAACAAGAGATTTATAACCAGTAGTGTATAGAATTGTAGTTAATGAAAGGGAATTATATAATTTAGAACCAATGGACATTAATTTCTTTGTTAAAAATGTATAAATAGGTGAAAAAGTGCTGTATTGGTGTCTGTATGGAGACAGGATTTTTGTGGGCCACATGGACACCCAGCTCTGCAAATAAAGAAATGCCTTGCTTTCTAACACTAAAAAGACAATATTAGAGGGTTCTTTTATTTCCTATGATTTCTGAGGTATTTGGCAACAATATAGCTGGAGCAGCACTACTTGCATGTGCTGGGGCTATCTGTCAGCATTTCCAGTTCTTAAGCTCCATTTTCTCAGAGGGATTTATTATAATGCAACGGTAAAGGGAAAATAAAGTATTTCATGTGTGGACATCTGGTACAACACCAATTATCTGGCTTTTTTTACTATTTTTAAGGAAGGAGTATATCTTTGCTAGCTCTTTTGTCTTTTTTTCTGGCTAATTGTTTCCCAGTGAGTTTACCCAGCATTCTTGTAAAAAGCATAAATAATCGCAATATTTATAGGTCAGTTGTAAATCATTGGTCTGCTCAGGCTGTGTGTTATATCTCTCCTCTCTGTCATTTGTCCAGGCTTTTCAGGGGAGTCTACGTCAGGTTGTTTGTATGGTGCCCAAGACAATGTGTTAATAATAACTGAGGTCCCCAGATATTCCTATAATAATAAATATTCATTCATCTTTTATTAAGAAAATGTGATGATGGAGACAAGAGGGAACAGAACTCTCCGAGGCAGGAGGCTGTGAATGTGAATGAATGGAGCTGAGAAAGATTTTAAAGATCTGTTACAGTTCACAAATGAGTCAAATTTATTTTAAAAATCAATGGTCAAAACTTGGGCAGTGCTGCCACCAAAATTAGACCCTAGCTGGCCCAAACTGTAACAACAGTCCTGCTTTTCCTAAATGTTTTTCCATCACTTGAAATTTGATACAAATAGTTTTCTTGAGGCAAAGGTTTCCCTTCTGTATTTGGGAGATTGATGGAGACCCACAGATGTCCTGTACTGAGCACTTCATCCAGTCCAGAAGGCAGGTCACCATCAGAGCCATTTTTTGCTCAGTTCTGAGTGTATGCTTAAGATGTGTGGCCTATTCTGGAAAAGAATAACTAAAGATTTTATAACAAACTACTTTTATTAAGAGATTCTGATGTCTTTTCTTTCCTGTGAATATTTTAAAAGCAAGCTAATTTTGACCTTGTAAATTTGTAAGATAAGCTTTGTTTTTGTGGTCCTGAAGTCAGCAGAGCTCCTCTTGTTTTACATCCACATTCCCATAAGCGGGATTTGCCTTAAATTTGTCTTTACAGGGTCTTTGCCAGAGTTTTTCCCTTCCCTGTCTGAATGACAAGGTTTCCTTATTCTCTGAGCCCTTGTTTTGCAAGAAATTACACTGAATTGTGTCTGGAGCCAATTCACGAGTGCAAGGCACAGGTTTGGGAATAAACTAACTTTTTCTTTTAAAGAGAACTTATCTCAGGCTAAATCACAGTACAAATTATATGTAGACCAGTGTTCTTGGCAAACCTGGACAAATGTGCGAACGGATACTGTTAAATTAATTTGCTTCTCTCTTTATTTTGGTCTTCGTAAATGGCCGGCATAACATTAGTTGACAGAAACCAGATTTTAACTACAGTGTTTTCACACACCCAACTGTTAATTAAATAAGTTCAGAAAGACCTTGGGAGTATAACAAGTACAGTGTCCATAGGCCAAATTTGATGCTATTTAATACAAATAGTATTAATAACCAAAAATCTCATTTTCCTGTTCTCTAGCTGACAAACATTATTGTTGATGAGATGCTCAAAGGAGCGGATGGGACTAACATCAAGTGTGGTGTGGTGGGAGAAATAGGTTGCTCCTGGCCTTTGACTGAGAGTGAACACCGTGTGCTCCAGGCAACAGCACATGCTCAGTCCCAGCTTGGATGCCCTGTTATCATCCATCCTGGCAGGAGCAGTGACTCGCCTTTCCAGATTGTCCGCATTCTGCAGGAAGCTGGGGCTGATGCTTCAAAGACGGTCATGTCTCACCTGGACAGGTAAGCAGACTATTCTGCTGTCCATCCAGCAGTGTTGCCACAGCTCACTGGGGTTTACGGAACTAGGCTGGATATAGTTGACATGAAGTATTACCTTCAAGTTTACTGTCTTAAAAATAAGTGCTTTAATAGAGCTTGGTTGGCGTCCAGCACTTCAGTCAGGATCAACTTTTAGATTCCTATTGATGAAGAGGCTTTGGTATTTTAAATGCTCTCTTTGAAAGCCTGGGAGAGAGATTAGGAGTAACTGTAACCACATTTTAAAAATCAGAATTCCATTAATTTGTATCCCTGAACAAATCCCTGTATTTACAAAGCATTGGACATTGAGCAGCTCTCACCAAATTGGGTGGGAAGTTGCTGGGCTTCCAGCGTTTTTGAAAACTGGATCGCTCTTAAGGGCCTTACCAAAATCTCTCAGAAGCTAATGGAAAACTTGATTTTGCTGGATTCTGGGTCAAAGCAGAAGGCAAATTTTTAATGTTCTGCTACCAGACAAAAGAAATATTGCTTAAAAAGAGAATAGTTGGGTTTTGAATAGTTCATAGTGTAGTCCGGGTAGCTAACTTACAGCTTTCTCAAGAACAAAACCCAGGAGCTCCACATCAGGCATGGAGAGAAATTGGGATACTTTTTTGTCTCCAGCTTAGAAATACAGCCTCTATTACCAAATCAGTTTTGTATGACCTTGTGTTGCTCACGGTGAGCTGGAATATGTCCAAGCATTGATTAGTTTGGCCAGTTGCTGAATAATGGAGACTGTTTGTGGTCATATGATTCTCAGCAATTGGATTGTTTGCCCTCAGTGTGACTGCAGTATAGGCAACAACACTGTGCTCCAGATTTCTGATAGTTGTAGGCTCTAAGAGGTAGCAACTTGAGCTACAGGTGTTTTGTAGGAAGCTCCTTGTTTTACTTATAAATGATACAGACTTCCTTTATGTATTTACCTGCATTCCATTGTATCTATGGCTGTATTTTCCTTCCCTTTTTAAAGAAAAACTGATCACTTAAATCTTCTAATGAAAGACAACTGAGAAGGCTGCAGATATCAGTACTTACATAGCCATTTTGATAAAACATAAAGATACAGTTATGGTTTTTTGCCTTTATACATTGTTATAAATTGTTGAATTAAGTATTTTAAGAATTAAGTAATTTATTGGTGGAAGTTAAGCAATATAAGCAGGAAAATAGTCAAGACAGTGGTGCAGTTTCACTTACAGCCACTGATGCACAATATGACATTTCCTTATATCTCTTTCTATCATTACTTTCACACATTCAGGTTGGCACTTGCTATAACATAAACTACTGTGAAGTTTGGCTTTCCAATGTGCATTTAACATTTTAAGTCTCCTCCAGTGAGAAAAATCCATGTGGGAGCATCCCAGTCCTTTAAATGCGAGATAAATTTGTACATAGCTCCACATTTCTTGTCTGCATTTGACGTAGGCAGAATGGTAGTTTGCAAGTGGATTTACAATGAAATGATAAAGCTAAAATACTGGCTACCATGTTTTGCAATTTAGCATCTTAGAACAAAAGGTAGCAAGTGTCCATAATGGAATATGTGTCCATATGGTGCAGTTAAAGGTTGGGAAGCAAAAGGTATTGAGCCTTGGCTTTGACCATTCATTAGGGGTTAAGGTTAAAAAGGTATCTTGGTAGGGGTCAACATTCATTCACTTTTAGCTTTTGTTAGAAGGCTCACAGCAACTGCTCTGAATATGGGCTTCATAATGGTTTGGTGGCTGTCCCCATGGGGATTTACAGATGAGGCCCAAACTACAGAATGCTTCACTGTGTCCTTTTCCATGAGCTCAAGGCAGCTCAGGTACAGTGTTGCCCAAACATCCAATTCCAGCGCAGAGATCCGCAATCTGAGCTGGGTACTGCTGCTGTTGCTACATCCCCATAGCTCACAATGGGACCCAGTGGCTGATGAAACTAAGCTCTCCAGCTCTTCGTTGGGACAGAGCACCAAAAGCATGGCAGTAACAATAGTCTTAAAAAGAAATTGTTGGGCTGTGATTTTGAAATGTATTGTTGGGTGTTTTTGCTATGTCCACCAGGACTGAATACTCTTGGTGGCTGTCTTCCCATGAACCAAGCAGGGCTGGATCTAAAATAACCTGTTGTCTTGCTCTGCACTTGAAAAACTCATTTGGTAATAAATGTTCAGTCTCTGTAAACTGTAATATTTATTTTAAAATAACATTTTTTATTAATTACAGTTGGCAAGTCTTAGACTCCTGCTGATGGCAGGCTTGTTTGAACAAGGGTTTTGTCTCTCTCAGCCCATCTGTTCCTCCTACTTTTAGTCCCGTTGTTAAGTCATAATATTGAAAATGTGACATCAGTCATTTCCATAGCAACAGACTGTGATGTAATTGTATAGGGTAAAACTGCTTTGTGATATCAATATCTACAATAATAAAAAAAAAATTAACTACTGCCCTTTTGGTTAACTGTGATGTTCTTGTGGAAACTTGGTTTTTAATTAGCTGAAAAAAATTGTGTTGTGGCTATAAAGATTAAATTGTATCATTTGAGTGGTTTTGGTTTCCTTTGGACAACTTACACACTTGGTAAAAATGGTTCAAAGAAAACCCAGAATATTCCAGGGAGCTCTTATTTCTGTTGCTGTTCTTTTCCAAATGGGTGATATGTGTTAGAAGCTTTGTTCCTTCACTTTTCAAATCTGCTGTAAAGCCCATGTCCCAGGTACTCACAGTGCCATTATATATTTTGGTGAGAGCATTTCCTTAAGGCGTTCTGGCCAGATCCCAGTGCAAACAATGATATATTGCTGTTCTAATGGCAATCTAGAAACATCACTGTACAGAATAGAAACTAAAGACAAAGTTGTGTATTACCGGTGTGTGATGGATGAAACAAGCCCTGGATGGAGCTGTCTTCTATAAGTCTTTTGGGAAAGTAAATCTGCTTTGTGTAAGTAATCCATTGTCTTTTTTTTTTTCTAAATGTCACTATGAATTAACCTCCTCCTTTAATGTCCTTCCTGGTTAGGTTGTCTGTTGAGAGGGTTAATGATATCAAAAGTAAGTAACTTTCCTCTTTCCATTTGAAGATTATCATAGATGTTTTCATTATTTCATGGGGAAAGAATTGGGGTTTTTTTGGTTTTTTTTTTTAAATGCATGAAATCCCAAATGAATGTGAGAAAGACAATACTGTGTATCAGCTTAGATTGCATGTTTCAAGTAGGAGTCCTGTTTTTCAAAAGGGTGAATTAAATCTTAGATTATTGGTTTTTTTCCTTACAAGTAGGAGGTCACAAAATTACTGTCCTCATGCCATGAGATATTTTACTCCTGTTTTACAGTGCTGACTCTGTGTTATATATGTTCTACAGGACCATATTTGATACAAAGAAACTTCTGGAATTTGCTAAACTTGGATGCTACTTAGAGTATGACCTATTTGGTACAGAATTTCTTCACTACCAGTTCCATCCTGATATTGACATGCCGAGCGACAATGAAAGAATTGCAAGGTATCTGCTCCCATGCAGTTTAAGCTATAGCATGGCCATTGACAAAAGCATATTATTGGTACTTAAGACCATCACATAGTGATTCTGCTTGCTGTTCAAAATTGTCTTCTTTCGTACTAAAATAATGCCATTTCCCCCTGCTGCAGTCACAGCCGTAGAGCAGCATGTATCATTTCTTCTATCTGCAGAGGAAGATGCAGAATCATAGTGTTGTACAAAGTTACTTGAGAAGAACATCAAAAGCTTTTTTAACTTTATCCTCCGTCTTACTTCCATGCTGATCTGGCTGAATTTTATAAATTACCGCATTTATACCGTCTGTTTAAAAAAAAAGGCTGGTGATACTGGATTTGTGTTAGGGTTTGGCTTTTATTTGAAACATAGCCTTGGAAACCTAGTGCTGCTACTAAGCATCATCTGAGCCTGTTATATCTCCTCAGTAGTGTGCTAACCCAGCAAAACTTCCTGGTTGTTTTGGGTGGTTTTGATCCTGTGCTTCTCTCCTGAAAAACTACCTTTTTTTTTCCAAGCACTTTATCACCTTTCCACCCCCTTTCCTTTTGCCCTTTCTCTCTTTTGAAGGATGCAGGTCCTGTCTCCTCAGAACTCTCATGCTCCTCACACTCACTCACAATGTGAAAATATTGGCCCCACTGGCAGGATACCTCTTCCCTGCTTCTCATCAGCACTTGCAGTCTCAGCTCAGCTGCACAGCAAATCTGTTGTGCTGTGCTAACACAAGGTATTGCCAAGAAGATGCATTCTGTGCAGAAACTGTCTGAGAGAAGGTAGGATCAGCTGGGAATGGGCACCTCACTCTTTCCACTCCATCTGGAGGTGTGATCCTTCTGTGCTGTTTGTCCACAGTGTTTGTGAGCAGTGAAGTGGCAGGTTTCTGAGGGTCGAGGTGCCATCCTGCCTGTGTCTTTTTACCTTCCAGAGTCAAAAATGGTTCTTATGTTCTCCTTGATGAGAAAGATTTTATGATCTCTGATCACTAATGAAGTAAATTCTAGCTTCCACTTACATTTCAGACATAGCTTCTCTCCCCCTCATTGTCAGATTAACCTTGAAACTAATCTCTGTTTTCAAACTGTTCCCTCCTAAGAAGGTGCTGTGGTTACTCTTCCACTCACTGCCAAGCATTTGCTGCTGCTTTTCACACTAGGAATAGTTTCTCTCTCTTAACAGTGCTCTCAGTCTGGCACTCAGTATTTTAAACTGTTGCAATGAATCTGCAGTTTTCACATTTAGAATGGATAAAGTTGCTCCCTCTCCTGTGCCTCCTCCCCTCTCCTGTGCCATGGAAGGTCAGCTTCTATGGAAGCACTGTGGAATACATATAGAGAACTGGACTATGCCTTGGTTAACAAGTGCTTGTTCAACCGTGGCAGAGTTTTCATTCCATCCGTAATACTTGCTCAGCCACTGATGTCTCTCCTTAAACTCTTTGGCATTTGAGTATTTCTTGCTGCAGGCTGTTCACAGGAAGAAGTGACGAAAAGTTTGTCTTCTCATTGTATGGTGTGAAAATGTGCATTTGAGTTAGAAACGCCCCTAAATGGATATTGATGCACCCACGATGGACTCGAGATGGCAGTGGCAATATCCTTAGGGTTTTGTTTTGTGAAACAACTCAGAGAGGTAGAAATCAAATTGACCTCTATATGAAAATACATAGGGGAAAAAATATCTTTAGGTCTTTTCTATTCAAAACATAAACTTATGTAGTCATAATGTATCTACTGAACACAGTTTAGCCATCTGTGTACTTCGGCAGTTTGACTGCAATCTACTGCTAATGCAAGTAAAATACTGATTTTTGTTCAGGGACAGTTTTAATTTGAATCAGAAGAAAGTACTAACTAAACTTAAAAGAATGAGCAAAAAGGAGCAATGAATACGAAATGGAAAGGATCATATGCCTCCTCAACCCGTGAAATTAGTCCAAATATGAAAGAAGATGATTCTAAATGATGTTTGGTCAGCAAACAACTTAGCTCCCCCAGTGCCATTGCTCTTACTCTCTGTTGAGAATTGGAACAGGCTGCCCAGGGAAGTGGTCACAGCACCAAACCGAAGTTCAAGAAGCGTTTAGCTCTCAGGCACATGGTGTGATTCTTGGGGTGTCCTGCAAAGGGTCAGGAGTTGGACTCAATGGTCCTGATGTGTCCCTTCCAACTCATCATATTCTATAATACTATTCTATAGTCTCTCTGTATTTCAGGCTGGAGTAGATACTTGTGATGTTGTAATGCTATGGTGCACATAGTGTTGTGCACTCTGTGGCACTAGTTATGGTGTTTTTTTCTGAAAGATGATAATATTTGACCAAAATCTATCCTATGTGCTTTCTTCCTGCTGCCCATATTGATTAGATCCTGCTACATGTATCTCCTCATAACTAATTGCAATAAAAACTGACAGTAAGGGCTTTCAGATACAGTGTAGTTACTTATAAAACTAGTATCTGTTTTCTTGTTGATCAAAGCACAGTCAGGAAGGTAAGAATCACAATTTCACAGTGCTGGTAAATGACTGAATTGGAGGCCTACATGAGGAACAAGCACTTTCCAGGTCTGGTCTGTCTGTCTCTGCCACTTCAATGCAGGATTCTACTGCCAAACTAAACTGAAGCTTACTGGGAAGCTTAACAGTTGTGTAATACAGGTGTTCAGACTCACCTAATAAATTCTAAAAAATTAGCTGATCAAGGATTAAGGCTACCTGAGTGAAACATGAAACAGAAGGACCTATAGCAGTCCTGATACAAGGGAGTGACCAGACGGATTACTTCTTTTTCCAAGCTGACTTGTCATTTTGCCAAACCTGTTCAGCTGGGTTGCCATATTCACTCCTCTTATTTCCTGGCACATGCTAGCACTGTGCCATGCCAGTCTTATTTCTGTTCTTCCTTTAATGAATATCTTTGAAATGTGTTTGGATGATAACTGTCTATATGGAACATGATGGTGGCAACTTCATATTTTTATTAACCTGGTTTGCTAAATGGGATTTAACTGAAGATGTGGAAGTATTTGTGCAATTGAGCCAGGCTTCTTAAAGGACCTGTCACACACAGTCTGGTCATTAGCAAATGTAATTGGATCAGCTTTGTGATGGCAGCAAGAAGTAACCTGCTGAGAAGGAGTTTAGGTAGGAAATTATTACTTACTCATATATATAAAACCTGTGTCCCATGCATGGTGATGCTGAAGCTCTTGAATTCCTCTGTGAACTTCATGGGACTGGGAATGCAAAACCATGTGCCAAATGGAAAGAGTTTTCCTTCTCCATTTTGAGATGTGTGGTGGTATGTTTTCAGACGTGGGTTTTTTTCATGCAATAAAAAATGTGTTTTAATTTCAAGTAAATATAAGGAGTATGTTTTCTGAGCACCTAAAATAACTATATTCTGCTATAATAGAGTCCAGCAGTACAGTAATATAAGAAATGTAAATCCTGGTTGCTTCTGTGCTGTTGCAGAATGAGAACTTTCACTGACAGGTGCGCTTTTAATTTTTCAGGATTCGTACACTGATTGATGAAGGCTATGAAGACAGAATTCTGATGGCTCATGATGTGCACACCAAGAACAGGTTGATGAAATATGGAGGTCATGGATATTCACATATCTTTGAAAATATAGTTCCTAAAATGCTAATTAGAGGCATATCCCAAGATAAAATTGATAAAATACTCCGAGCAAATCCAAAGCGGTGGTTGACTTTTAAGTAGGAATAATGAATAATTATTCCTGTTCTGTAGAGAAGCTTGATAAAATTCAAATTTCTTTCCAGAGAGCAGTCATTTTAAAATTTGGTTCTTTTCAGAGAAACTGAAAATTATTAAGGAGATGCAAACAAACTGATTATAAATTTTCTTTTTAATTAGAACATCAAAATTGAGTACCGTCTCTGCATCTTCTCCCTTCTGGAAATTTGTTCATGAGTGATTTACTGAATAGGAGCCTACCCCAAAATCTTTTTCATAGAAATTTTAAAATAATTGTTTCAAGAGCGTAATCTAATACTATTACTGAATGTTACCCCAAACTACTTTTGAAGATGCACCACCTGGACTTTGAAAGAAATTATGGTTTTCAGTTAAGTTTCCTGTCTCTGGGGGCTGATTTTAATCTTTGTAACACTGACAATCTTCTCATTATCCTTGTATTCTTTGAGTAATGCTTGATGAAAGGTCTGTAACTTTTAAATAGCTTCTGTAGACAACACAAGGCAAAAGAAATCTCAAATAAATCTAAAAAGGTAATTTTTTTTTATAGTTTAACAATTTACTTAATTTTAACTGAAAGTGTAAAAAATACATGGAAAAATATATTTTTGAATAAAGCAATTTGATGATCTCTTAAACTATGTGCAGTATTATTACAGATGTCTTTTTTTAATCACATTTTTTTTATCATGAACTTTTGGAATCTCACAGTGATCATGTAAAACTTGACACAGACCAGCTTCTTTTTGTAAAGATGCAACACCAGAAGTCAAAATATATTACATAATACAGTTTTAATGAGTTCTAATATTTATAACAAAGGCTGTGATATAAGTCTTTACAAATCAGTATATCAAGATATGATGAAAAAGGAAGAAATGTTTGCCTTATATGTGGTTTTTACATAAAGCGTGTTCTTTGCTCTTGTCTAACTTTAACCTGGGCATGTGATCTATTCAAAAAATGGTGTTATCCAGTAGCAGTGGGAGCCTGATTTCAAAAGCTTCTTCAAATTTGACCATATACATCTTGTAGTATTGAGCCTTTCCAATAAACACCTTAGTAAATACACACTGCTGGTTGTGAATGATCTCTAGCTTGGTGCATCGGTGTGTGGCACTACGTAGAGGATCTCTGGCTACACTGCTGTGTGACTGCACTGACCAGTAAAACAACAGTGGAGCGAACAGACCAAGTTCAGTTACACATTTGTTATTAAAGTAATTGCCTCATAGAAATAAAACAGGAGTAATCACTACAATGTACAGATACAGGTTGGCACTTTGTCATAAAGTAAGAGCGTTAACCATTCTGGTGGGATAATACACAAGCAGCTGGCAGCACTATGTCCCCTTATAAACCTTACATGAGTTTGCCTGGTGATCCTGTCAGCCGAGACTCACTCGGCATTTGTTTTGAATTGGACGACTCAGAAACAAAGAGTAACATGCTTTGTTTAAGAGAAGCGTCACTTATTCAGATGAGATTTTTAGAGAGATGTGTACAATCTTTATCAGACTTTTACTGAGCAGCCAACACTGGAGAGCTTTTTTTGTCACAGTGGCAGACACTTCAGACATTTTAGTGCAGATAAATCTGAGTTTGTACCCTTAGTACATTAGACAAGGTTGCTTGTGGCAAAGTACATGAAATAGCAATGGTAGGGGTAGCCTCTATTACACTTTAATGATTTATAGAAATGTTGCCTTGATTTTGCCAAAATGTTAAAAATAAATAACATAACCAACTGTGCTAAAGAACTATTTAGTAATCTTGCTAAAATTTAGGTTTAGAATGAAATCTGCGAGTTTTAACCTGAGAGAAACAGACAGCCTCCCAAAACCAAAACAAATAATAAATCCATTTTCTGAATAAAAATATTCTGTGGACATTACTGGTATGACTGATTCTAAAGCATTTTTATAACTATGTAACTCATAGTATCTGTGTTTAGTTTAATTCTCCAAGCCATTAATCCTCTATATGGATTAAACCTCTTTTAGATTTTATATATCTATATCTATACATATATTAATGAGAAAAATAAGTTTTAATACACACTTTTTTTTTGCATGTAAATATTTGCTTCTTTCTTTGCATATGTGTTAATCATTTTTGGTAATATGCTCAACTGTGTCCATCTCATAGGCACACTTTACTACAGACTGGTAACTAGCTTCCATGGAAAAGGTCTATGTGACAGCATTTTCTTATGTGTCAGATCTCCCACTCCTCCTTTGTGGGAAGAATCCCACTAACTTCAGTGAGACAAGACACCTAAGACAATTAAGGTTTTGACCCATTATATTCCTACAAAATTCTAGTGGAACATCTGCAGTATATTAATCCATAACTACTTTATTAAAAATAGTACCCAAGTACAGACTAAGTGCTAAAAGACTAATGAAAACTAATTGCTGCAAAGAAAACACTCTACCTTAGTGTGATGATGTGGATGATAGGCTTTCTAAATATTTACACAACTAACCATCAAGAATGGGCCTGTAATAATTGTCTAAATATATATTTACACGTATACAAATCAAAAAAGCCAAATCCCTTTTCCACTAATAGCAATGGGAGTTTTGCCATTGGCTTTGAGGGAATCAGGGATTTGATCCAACAGAATAGTTTGTGAACTATTACATTTTTCAGGGGAAAATAAAGTGTTTCTTCTATCCTCCTTTTTCTTTTAGAACACAGCTAGCTAAGGGAAAGACAAAATTTAAACAACTCCACTGGACTGATTTTATGTTAAAAGTCTAATGTAAACCTACAAAGCAGGAACATTGAGTTAAGGCTTGAAGATGATTAGTTTCTAGTTTTAAGTGGAAGGGTAAGAAAAGTACAAGGCAAACAATTTCTTTGCAGAGAGAAAGTATATTTTGATTACCTCTTCCGTTTATTGTAAAATCATTCCTCACCACACTATCAGTGGAATCCAAGCATCATTGTTAGCAAGTAAGTCACAAGAACCAAAGCTGAAGTATGGATAAAGCAGCAAGATCATAACACATCAAAGTATCATATACACTGAAGAAATAACTCAGCGTCCTTAGGTGGGCTTTTTTCCTATAAAACTTTGATCTATGTAGAACTTCATTCACATGGACACTAACAATGAGGAAGTATTTGCTTTGGCGGTAGTGGATCGCACATCTGTTTTGAGCTTGTTTTGTCGTTTTTTAACATAAGATTTCTCTGTGTTGTACAGATGTGAATCAGGTAGCATTTGACTTTTTTCCCCCACTACTGAGGTGTTTGGTGGTCGCTCTCTGCTGGGGTACTTGTTTCATTGACTTTTGCCACGCAAATCCATCACTTAGAAGAGCAGGCTTCATTTTTGGACCGGTTTGGTGGGTCTTTTTACTCATTATCAGTCAGCATAAATAATAAATCCAGAAAATGTGCTGTATTTGTTGTTGTTTCCTCCATGTGCTTTTCCTCCATCTAATTTAATGTAAACTTCATCTCCTGGCTCCAAGTGAAGCACCACGCTGTTACTGGCATAGTCGTAGTTCTGATCAGCATCCTGAGCAATCGCACTAGCTCGAACCTACATAAAATACATAATGAGTGGTTAAGAAAACTCAGGTGGCTTTTCTTGCATTGTGAACTTATAGCATATCCTCAGTATTTTATTCACCATGCATGAGTTGCCACTTTAAACATCTGGCAACCTATATTTCATGTTTTTTCCTATGGTTGTTGCTTATTTTCTCCTACAACACAACATCTGAAACTAAAGCAATAACACGCTCCTTTCTCAGTCATCTGATGAATACAAAACTTCTTGATCTCCTGTAAATGTCTGGAACCTTTTTAAATATATGTGTAAGAATAACTGGAGTTGGGAGAACTGGATATGGTCATGTGCTAGTTTTACATTGGTGTAACTTTTATTTCAGTGGGACAAGTGATTGACAATGGTGAGGATCCACAGGGAGCTCCCTAGCTGGACTTTTTCCAGAGGCAGTTTATTGTCATACCAGTAATAGGATCATGCTGCAGAAAAGAATACAAGAAATACACACCCACCCACACACATGCACACAAGCAGGTAAGGATCCTAGTCTAGGTTTGAAAAAACTCCTATTGCCACATTTCAGTAAGCAAAAATTTAATTTCGCTGTGTTTTAAGCTGTGTTCGCAGCTTTAAAAAATCACAGGAAAGTCACTATTTGCTTTAAGAGGTTTTTGGAATTTACATGTCATTGAGGGCTTTTCATTTGCAACTTTCCCTTAAACATACTTTTTTCCCATTTCTCCCTTGCTATTCCACTACTGATTAAATTTGACATTTCTTGCAAACTGGAAGTAATCTGTAGTTTCAAGATATATGCTGCTTTCCAGCAATGAACAGTCTGTGCCACTGTAAGTCTCCAAATCATTTATATATAATTTGACCGTGTTTGGTAAAATATTTAAAGATGGTTGTATGTGATTTATTTCAGTGTAACACGTCATCTGCTTGTTGCTTGTCTTTGTTCTAGCGTAGTTACAGAGCAGTAAATGATTTAGTGGCATTGCAAAGCTGAACTAAGTAATAATGCATGACTTGGCGTACTATATGTGGGATTTTATCTGTTCTGAATTGAAAAAATAGGCTATAAGTCACAATTTTCCATGGATTCCTTTCAAAGTTTACATGATAAATTTCCAAATTAAATTTTCATGTGATATGATTTCACATTAATATTGAAATGCTATAAAGGAGGGAGTTCTTTTACCATGAAGGATCTTATGGCATTATGCAGCTTAAAGATCACAGTAGGTGGAAATTCTTTATGCATCCTGTAAGAAGAGTGAGAAAGGCTGCAAGAGCTTGCAGTGCTGTGACAGGCTGCAAATTTAAACTGATACATGGCATGATGATTAACCCCGACTATTTCAGGACTTCTTGATTCTGACTTGCCTGGTATTGTTTACCATTATTGATCTATTTTGCTAGTGTTTAAGCGATAATTATTCTAAGCACCGGATGTTTTCTCGGGATTAATTACGGGCAGGGTGGAGTCGAAGGCTCTCTGGGTCATTAACCCTGGAAATACCTTCCAGAGAAAATAACAGACTGAAATGGTTGCTGGCCGTGTAAATGGAAAGGGCAAATGGTGAGGAGTGAAAAGTGAAAAGACTATACATGAGCTAGAAAAACTTCCAGTGTCTTGCATACTGGCAAGCAGATGGTTTTAATATACTTTTCCAATTCCCATTTACATCCTAATGAAATGCTACTTTGTGGATTTGTATAAAACGTTGTGTTTCTGTGGATAGTAAAGGAGAACTCAAATTATATTAGTGACTATCCTAAAGGAGTCAGCATGTGGACACTGGCTACAACAGGAATGGATATTTCATTTTTAAGATTCTACATAGTACATACTGGCTGAAAAAAAAATATTTTGGGTATTGAAAGTCTAAGAAACCAAAGTGCAGATCTTACTGCCCTGTGTATAGCAGCAAAGGTCCCATAGACTCCAGTACACTATTCCTAGGGGTTTTACCTCCTTGCTTGGTTAGCCAGAGCAATTTCTTTTTAAAGCCTAGGAGAACAGTCTCAAATGAATTCTCAGTGAGTGTACTGCTGCGAGACAGTAAATGTAACTCAAAATTAAACCATTAAGGGACAATACATTTCACA